TCGAGGCACAACCAGATATCAAGATAAAAGCTATTATGTTCGAGGTGAAGGATCGACACTCCTACACCATAAGGTATAAGAAGGCGTGGCATGGGAAGTAGAAGGCCATGGCTGAGGTCTACGGTGATTGGGATGACTCGTATGCTTTACTCCCTCGACTAATGTCCGCAATGGAGGAGTCCAACCCTGGGACGGTTTTCGTGTCGTGGTACAACAACGTGCAAACTGAAGATCAAGTTCGCGTACAGAACTAGTTGATGTTTCATCGTCTGTTCTGGACATTCAAGCCATGCATTTACGGGTTTCCCTTCTGCATGCCAGTGATTCAGGTATATTACGGACTCAAAATATTGTACTAGTTCATTACCTTACTAAGTTAAATTTTTACTAACTAATTATTCATTTTTAACAGGTTGATGGAACTTTCCTTACTATGAAGTATAAAGGAACTCTTCTCATTGCAACTGGGGTTGATGGAAATTTAAGTATTTTCCCCTTAGCATTTGCATTAGTTGAAGGGGAGAACAACTTAAGTTGGGCATGGTTCTTTGACCAGCTACACGCCCACGTCACACAAAGAATGGGTATTACAATTATATCGGATCGACATGCCGGGATTAAACACGCCGTCGGTGGTTTTCCCAACGAATGGGGATGGACATGCCGCTGGAATTGGTTGCTCCTATCGATATTGCCTCAAAGATCGATCGGGCAGGTGCCATTCCACCATGTGGAAGCAGATTAAGGGCACCTTGCACAACCATGTCTCTTGATCCTCGGGATGTCTAAGACGATGCAACTCAACCACTTCATTTGGATATGGATCCCATACCGCCTACAATCATTATAGTTCATGGAATTAGTACAAATTATATCCACTCCACCTAAAAAATTGAAAATGATGAAATTTTATATTTTTACCTGGTTCCACCAAGGCTTATCAAATTCAGCACAATAAAACAGCAAAGAGTGTTCGGGCTGGTGGTCGTTTGTATTTGCTCCGATCCACCTAATTAAGCAAAAGTACGTATATAAGCAATTTTTATGGCATAGATGTTTACTTGTTAAGTATGATTGTATGGAAGCATCTAAATTGAACTAAAATTCCTTACTTGGCAATAATCTAAATTAGCTAAATACGATTTGGTTAGAATAAATCTAAATTTGCTAACTTGGAAGATATCTAAATTCACTAAAATACTATAATTGCAGACCTAAAATGTCACTAAATTTGCTTACTTGAAAGATATCTAAGTTCACTAAAATACTATAACTGCAGACTTAAAATGTCACTAAATTCGCTTACTTGGAATAGATCTAAATTCACTAAAATACTACCATTGCATATCTAAAATAAATTAAACTTAAATTAAACTTACTTGAAACCATATGGGGGATTTGCTACAAATCGTAGCTCATCATCTGGCAACCAGAATTCCCGAGGGTCTCGAGGTGCTAAAAACGGAAGATGCTCCCATGCCCAGAGTTGGAGTATGAACATCGCACCACCAGCTTGTTTCGCTCCCAACCTCGAGCAAGTACACAACTCTCGGTAGATCCCAGCCAAGACGGCCGACACCCAACTTTTTTCCCCGATCTCGTCCCAGTCACCGATGAGCATATTTAATCACATGCCTTGTATCCACCGGTTTGACTTGTCGGGGAACAGAAACCCACCAACCAAACCAATTAGGTAGACACGTGCATACCGCTCCACCTGATCTTCAGGAGTGTCCGGGCCTATATTAACCTCCATTTGGATGTGGTCAACAAGCCACGGGACCGATACTTGCCCCGCATTCAGTGGTGGATGCCCAACCCCGTCGACGGGCGTGGTGGTCGACATGTTGAACCCCAAACGCTCTTGAATCAACGGCCCCCAACCATCTTCCGATTTTTTCGAGTTGTCGATGATGGCATTTCCGGTGATCGGGAGCCCGGTGAGGATGGCAACATCTTTGAGGGTGATCGTCATTTCACCCTCGGGAAAGTGGAAGGTATGCAGCTCGGTGCATCATCGCTCTGCCATTGCCGTCAGCAGATCGTTGTCAATATCAAGCCTCATAAAGTGCCTCAGCATGTGCAATCCCGTCCTCTATAGATAGGGCTGCAGTCGATCATGCCAACGGGGCAATCGACATGTCCCTCGATGACTGATGGGAATAAGTGATTCCTACAAAACAAAAAACACAATATTGTCAGTCAATAGAAAGCAAAATTAAAACTTTAAAACTATTGAAATAATTTTAGTGTGTCTACCGGATTATTGTTCCAAATTGAACGGGAGCGATGTTGATCTTGCCCGGTTAAATATCTTCGATCCCTTGGGCCAGGATCGATATACAATCGAGGGTCGTATATCTCAGCACCCATCTATAAAAAAATATGAAATCAAATCAATTTAAATTTTAGCACCCATGTAAAAAAAATCACAAAAGAATTGTTGGGCCATAGCTGAGCGGCATTGGGCTTGGAAGCCCAAATGGTAAGGCCCGTTCAAAGGGCCCAGGAGAATACGTCTGGGGGAACGTAGCGCATGGGGAACAGAGAAAGGAAGGCGGCCATACTAGGACAAGACAGGTACTAGGACGCCTGACACAAAGAGCCGTTACGGGCAGAATGGGAGATCCTCCGAAGATACTCACCTCGAACACTGCAGGACTAAGCATTAATTGCCGCCGTAGGCGGTCTAAATAAAGCAGAGCTTGATCTAGGACGCCTGACATGGCATTTAATGCTCGAAGTCCAGCCCAAACCACTATAAATACATTTCCATCTGCATTGATGGTAAACCAACTACTCTCTCTCTCTCTAAACATTACAACTCATATTCCCTCTCTAACTTAAGCATCGGAGGGTGTCCGGGGTAACCGCCCACGGACCCTTGTTTTGCAGGAGTTTGGAGTCCCCCACCATCTGGAACAGACGCCTTGCTCGCTTACACAAACCGCCTAGAACATTCTAGGCTCAAACAATTTGGCGCCCACCGTGGGGCGAGCATTGCACTGAAGAAAAGATAGATGGGAGCTCCAACACTCCCGTCAAAGGCGTAGTAGAAAGAAGTCCCCTCCGCGCACCAGACGCACCAGCGGGCGGAATGCGAGGAATGGAGATGCCAACTGTGGAAGAGGAAATGGAAATGGAGGACCGCGTAAAGAGCCAGGGACAGCAAATATCGAGTATGCAGGAGAGCTTGATCCAAATATTGGCCATGCTCAAGGAAAAAGAAAGCGACACCCCCGAAGGCTCGGGAAAGAAAGCGGTCAAAGGAAAGAGGAAAGAAAGCGGTCCCGGCAGCCCCGTCTCAACAGAAGACGGGGAGTCGGACAAAGAGGAAGGAGAAGAAGATCTCAGCTTAGGATTCCTTGAAGAGCACCTTAAGCCCTCATACGGGAAGGTGAAGGGTCCCAACATCCTACAGAACCCGCTAGCAAGAAGTTTGTTTAAGACCAGGTTCCCCCAAACTTCTCGTCACTGGGTCTCCCCACGTACAATGGAAGCTCAGATCCCGCCGATCACTTGAGTGCTTTCATGCTCACTATGCAACTCATCAACGCTACAGACACCGATCTGTGTAAGGCGTTCCCAGTCACCTTCAGCGGCCACTGTCGGACCTGGTACACCTCTCTACCATAAGGGATAATAGAAAACTTCGAGCAGTTAGCGACTCTTTTTTCTTCGAAATTCGCGTCAGAAAGGAGAAGGAAGCTGACAGTTTCGTCGCTCATTAATAGCAAGCAAAGGAATGCTACCAGGCAACCATAGAAAGCTTGGAGGTGGACCTGGTAGACACCAGAGGCGGTCATCCTCGCCCAGAGGCAGTAGAAGGTGATGCGGAGGTAGTGCTTGACTGCAAAGAGCCAGAAAAAAGGTGAGAATCTCTTCCCACCTCGCGGAGGAAAAAGCAAGAGAGCTCCTGGTGCTCCTCAAAGAGTTCAAGGACTTGTTTGCATGGACTTCCGAAGATATGCCGGGTGTATCCAGAGAGCTCGCCGAACATCACCTGTCAGTAAAAAGCAAGGCGAAGCCGGTGCAACAGCGTAGGAGAAACGCGTCTCTGGAGAAGCAGATGGCGTTGGAGGAAGAAGTTAAGCGGTTGCTCAAAGCCGGCTTTATCAGGGAGGTCAAATACCCAACTTGGCTTTCGAACCTGGTCTTTGTTCGTAAGGCCTCCGGGCTTTGGCGAATGTGCATCGATTTCACAAATCTGAATGCGGCCTGCCCAAAGGACGCCTACCCTCTTCCAAGGATTGACCAGCTCATAGATGCAACCGCTAACCATGAGAGTTTGAGCTTTCTGGACATGTTCTCGGGCTATCACCAGATTCGCTTATCTGAAGAGGATCAGGAGAAGACCGCATTTATGACCCACATGGGAAACTTCTGCTACACGGTCATGCCTTTTGGCCTAAAGAACGTGGGGGCAACATGTCAAAGAATGATAGATGCGGTCTTCAAGAGCTAGCTGGGTCGAAACGTGGAAGCATACGTAGATGACGTCCTGGTTAAAAGCAAAGAAGAAGGGGATCATTTGAAGGACTTAAGGGAGACGTTTGAGAACTTGAGAAAAGAAGGTATGCGGTTGAACCCCCTCAAGTGCGTGTTTGGTGCCAAGACAGGGAAGTTTCTAGGGTTCATGATCACCAGGAGAGGAATTGAAGCTAACCCAAAACAGATAGAGGCCATTACGAGCTTGAGGCCGCCTCAGACAGTCAAAGAGATTCAGGCGTTCAATGGAAAGATGGCCGCCTTGAGTCGTTTTAATTCCAAGGGCAGCAGACAAATGCTCACCCTTTTTCCAGATGCTTAAGAAGTCAGCGTCCCGTTCACAATGGAGCGCGGAATGCGATAAAGCATTCTTTCAGTTAACGGAACAGCTCACTTCTCCACCCGTTCTGAGCGCCCCGAAGCAAGGAGAGACATTATACCTTTATCTGGCAGTGTCTGATCAGGCGGTCAGTTCAGTCCTGGTCCGGAGGGATGCCGATGGCTCAGACCATCCTGTTTACTACATGAGCAAAGCGCTCCTCCCAGTAGAAAGACGCTACATGCCAATCGAAAGAGCGGTCTTAGCAGTGGCAACAACCGCAAGGAAACTCCGTCCCTATTTTCAAGAGCACCCTGTAGTCATTCTCTCAAATCTTCCGCTGAGAAAAATCCTGAAGGGAATGGATGTGTCGGGTTGAATGACCAAGTGGGCGGTTGAGCTCAGTGAGTATGATATTGCATACGCCCCGCGACCCTCCATCAAAGGGCAGGTGCTGGCAGATTTCATTGCGGAGGGCTTCGGCCTTAGTGATGCAAAGGAAGAGAATGAAGTTTGGCGTCTTTTCGTAGACGGAGCGGCTGGAAAAGGAGGAGCAGGAGCGGGAATAGTAATTGAAACGCCCACAGGCGTAGTGCACGAAATATCTCACCGCTTCCTGGAGCTAAAGACCAACAACGTGGCGAAATATGAAGCGCTCCTCAGTGGGTTGAAGATAGCGGTTAACATGGGGGCATCGCAACTGCACATCTACTCCGACTCGTTGTTAGTAGTAAACCAAGTGCTTGAGAGTTACGAAGTTAAAGAGGAGGCGCTCACCAAGCTGGTTGGAGCGGTTAAAGGAATTCTATCACAGCTAGACTCCTGGAAGTTGGAGCATGTGAAGAGGGAAGATAACCACCACGCTGACGCCCTATCCAAGCTGGCAACCGCCATGGACTTCGAAGGGGAGCGTCGTGTTACAGTAACCAAGGAAGCGGCCCCAGCCTACGAGGTAATGGCCCTTAACGAAGAGAGTCGCGACTGGCGGTCTCCCTTGGTCGACTACCTGCAAAATGACGTTGTCCCGAAGATGCACTCCTAGCCAAGGCGCTGAGACGAAAAGCGGCCCATTATACCATGGTGGAGGGACAACTATGCAAAAGATCCTTCTCGGGGGCATATCTGAAATGCCTTGGTCCGGATGAAGCCAAGTGGATGGTGAAAGAAATCCACCAGGGGACATGCGCGACACACTCCGGGCCGCGGAGCCTTGAACGGACGATATTGCTGCAGGGGTATTACTGGCCGACAGTCAAGAAGGATGCGATGGAGGCGGTTCAGAAGTGTCATGAGTGTCAAATTCATGCTAACAAGCAGCACTTGCCAAGCGAACAGCTCAGAAGCATTACAGGGCCATGACCATTCGCGCAATGGGGTCTGGATCTTCTCGGACCGTTCCCTACAGCTCCACTAGGCAAGAAGTATTTAGTCGTCGTGGTCGACTACTTCACAAAATGGATTGAGGCTGAACCGCTAGACACAATCACCAGCGCCAAGATCCAGAAGTTTTTGTTCAACAACATTATGATCAGGTTTGGCACGCCTCATACTATTATAACTGACCATGGCACAGTTTGACTGCAGACCATTTGAAAACTTTTGCGGAAAGAACCGCATCATATGCAAGATGGCGTCCGTAGCATTTCCTCAAGCGAATGGACAGGTAGAATCGTCTAACAAGCTAATCCTGCGAGGCCTGAAGCGGAGACTGAAGGAAGCAAAAGGGGGGTGGACCGCAGAGTTACCTCATGTCTTGTGGGCGCACAGAACGAACTATAAGCAGGCTACCGGGGAGACACCATTTGCTCTGACATATGGTGCGGAGGCCGTCGCGCCAACAGAGCTAGTGCTACCATCACTCAGCGTCCAGCCTTATGACTCGGAAGATAATCATAGGAAGGTGCTTCATCAGTTGGACATTATCGAGACAATGAGGGACGCGGCTCTAGTCAGAACTCTGGAGGAGAAGCTGAAGGTGGCCATGGCATACAAAGCCAAAGTAAAGCCAAGATCGCTAGAAGAGGGCGACATGGTCCTAAAAAGGAATTTCGAGCAGAAGGAAGGACACGGCAAATTGGCAGCCGCATGGGAAGGCCCCTACCTAGTGGGGGAGAAGTTGGGAACAGCAACGTACGTGTTAGCAACAATGGAGGGGAAGCCACTCGCAAAGACCTGGAATGCCATCCACTTGAAGAGATATTTCGAGTGATGAGCTATGAAGATTACATTGACCGCAGAGTCTTTTGATATAGGCGCTCATTTATAGCGAGCGTCTACTTTTGGGGAAAAAGCTTCCCGTGTAAAGCCTAGGAAGTTATGAAAGTGCCGCTGAGCACTCAGTTGCCTTAAATTGTGCATGCATTACTGTTTAAGCGCTTAACAGCCTCTGAGCGATGAGTTTAACTCAAAACGCTGTCACAAGCAAAGCGCGGCTAAAAAACGCCGCAGCAATTAAACAACAATTCAAAACCGCCACAGAGCGTCAAGGCCATAACCACAACATTCATAACGCACTCATCCGCCTCCGAGCAATAGCGTGGCAAGCGCGTTTAGCAATCGCTTCAAAGCGCACATATCCCCTCGCTTCAAAGCACACACCCAACCGCTTCAAAGCAAAAAGGGCTATCAAACCTAAAAAGTCGCGGCGGCCGAAACGACCGCATCAGTGCGGTTGGTTACCTCGGCAGACATAAAAAAACACTAAGTAGACGGAAGCATCCCATAGAAGGCATTTCGGAGAAACGCCAAAGATATCCACTGCCCAAGGCAGATTTAGTTTACAACACCAGCAAATTGAAATGATTGAAAGCAAGGAAAAAAGACAGGGTAGTCAAGCGGTTTCTTCTTCAAACTTCTTCATCCTGGACTTCCTCCCGGGTAGCACCAGCATCCTCGGCGGCTTCAACATACTTCGCGGTCTCGCCGTTCCCCGCGGTCCCTGCAGGCTCGACGACAGTGGTTGCTGCATTGTCAGGAGGGGGCGTCGCAACGTACTCAGAGTTGACGTCCTCATCACTCCAAAATTCGACCGCGTCCCATATGGAGTTGGTGTCCCACACCACCTCTGGATACTCGCGGCGGAACCAATGGCGAATGGCAGCCACAGTGTCGCGAAGTAACTTCTTATACTTCGCATCGTCGGCAATGCGATAATCGTCGGAGGTCCAGAATGTGTCCCTAGCTTCCTGAGCGGCCCTCAGCATGTGAGCCTCTCGAGCATCTTGCAGCTCGGACTTTTCCGAGCGGAGGTTGGCCAGCTCAACCTGCAGGGCGCTCTCCCGAGCTAGGGATTCGTTCAGTTCGGACCGAAGGCGCTCCGCGTCCGCCTCAGCTTTCCTTGTCAGCTCCTTGCCCGCCTCAATCTAGGCATCCTTAGCCTTCATGATCTGCTCCTGCTCCTTCAGGACATCCTCCCGCACCTCCCCCTTTACCCATTCGCGGCCCTCCTTGAGTTGATCCTCCAGCTTCAGCACCTGAGTCTTGGCGTCCAGCAGGTTGCTCTCCAGGTGGTCATTTTCCAGCATAATCTGGTTTAAACCAAATTGGGTCTGCACAAAGGAAAGAATTAACTCAAGAACAGCGGGGGAGAAAGAAGGAAATGATCATCTCATCGTACCGCAAAGAACAACCGCGAAGTAGCGGCTGCCAGACGTTTCGTGTCGGATGCCAACACGGGAGTTCCAGGAGTGGGGGTAAAGTCGCTGGGGACCGCCAAACCTTCCGAGATTACGTGCATAGCACGTTTGGCGGCCGCGGGATATAGAGACACTTGCGATGAAAAAGAGACAGAAGTGTCGACGGTTGTCCTCTTCGGTCTCTTAGGCGCAATGTATGCGTCTATTGGAGTGGAGTTCTCAACGAGCACTCCCTTCAACCAAGGCTCCCCCGCGGCCGCCCTCAAATCCTTTGAGGTAGTAATGTCGAGAGCCCGCTTGACAGAAGTCCTCGTCAGAGCAGGCTCATAGAGCTTCAGCACACCAGTTTGGCTGGCCACAAGCTGCTTCTGAGACGGGGGAAGCTGGGAAACCGTCGGGGCAGGACGAGCAGCTGCAGCAGCAGGAGAAGCAGGAGCATTGGCTCCAGGCTTAGGCGGTCGGGCAGAGGATGCATACCGTCGCGTACGTGTGGAATAAGCCAAGTTAAAAGCAAAAACCATGAGAAACGCGCTCAGCACGAAAAGTAAAGCAACTAACCATGAAAACGCCGAATAATATCCGAGGCATTATCGTCCCCCTTTGGGGGGAGACGAATCTGAAAAGCATTCATGAGCCGCTTTAATAAGGGCTTGACAAGACCAAGGCCGTCAGTATCAGTGTTCCAGTCCTTCTTGTCTCTGGACGCAAAGCCAGTGGGCGGTTCAACCTCTCCAGAATACCACTTATCCGCAGGGCGAGCAAAGAAATATTCCTTGAACCAAGGGGAATCCAACTTCGGCGCCCCGCTGACGATGCCAACCTGCGATTCCCGACGGTAACAAGACCAGCAATTTTCGGAACCCCTCATCTTGTACAGCTGACGAAACACGTCAAAAGAAGGCGTCTCGCCTATCTTTGCACAAGCAGCCCTAAAGGCAATCGAGTGAAAAATTATGCCAGGGGACAAGCGTCCCAGCGTGCAGTTCAGGAAAAGGAGCGTCCGGGTGAGGATGGGGTCGATAGGGAAAGTCAGGCCCATCCGAAGATGTTCCACGTGTATGGGAATCCAACCGCCTGGACAAGAACCCGACCGTCCAGCGGGAGAAGGAGCTGCGTAATCCCAATTGGTAGGAAGGTGGTGCGTCTTCAGCTGTCGAAGAACTTGTCGAGGGTTGTACGCAGCCTCGTTAGGCGGCCCTGTTCGTATGTGCTTGAGGGTACGGGCTCCCCTTCCCACATATCCTTATGCAGCCGGACGCGGTATGTCGTGTCGCGGATAACCTGGAAAGCGCCCACAGGCAAAGCGTCGGATACAGTCAACTACGGGGACAACTCCATCCCTTCGTCCTCTGGGCGGTCCGCGGGGCCATCATCAGAGGGAAGGAGCAACGTCGTATTATTAGGCGGCTCACTCTCCGCCTCGGAATAGTCAAAGTCCTCCAGGTTGTCTCCAACCAAGGAAGACGCTCCACGCCGTCTGCCCGACGTTCCCGCGTCAGAAGCCGTATCTAGTTCTACCCCTAAAAGGTCATAACGAAGAACCGTCTAAGTATGCCTCACATCGTGCGTGTGAAGTCAATTCTGAATCCTATTCCTACGAATAAACCGCGCAATATAGAGGGTCAAGGAGAGTACCTGGGATCGCTTGACGGCTACCAGAAGGCGGTCCGCCGGATCCACCCCCTGACTTCGAAGAGGACCGGGGAGCGCTGCTGCCGCCACTGGAAGTGCGAGCGTCGCCGGAAACAGTAACTGCAAGGTCACTGGAGGTTGTGACGGTGACGACGTCGCCGGAGAGGTTCCGATTTTGGCTATCGGAGTGACTGGTACTTTGTGATTCGATCGCCATTTTCCTCCGAAGCTTTCTTTTCGCTCGTTTCTGACGTCGTCGGAGTTTAGCAAGGAAGGATGCTCTCGGCAGAGACAAGGAAGAGTTGTCTCGAAGATAGGAGGAGAGGGAAAACGAGAGCACCAAGCAATTTTGGCGAGAGGATCGGAGGAGGAAGCGAAATATGCGAAGAAGAAAAGTGAGGGGAAAAAGGAAGAAGCGAGTATAAATATGCCGGGGGGGGGGGGGGGGGGGGGGCAACGAAGCGACGGTTGAGTGAGACCTAGGAAATTCAAATGGCGGGCAGATGATTGGACATAAAGGTGCCCGTTGTCAGAGCACGAAGGCCGAGGCCGGACACGTTGCGCGACGTATGAACGGTGTGACGAGACGTGGAAGATCAATCGACAAGCGGCTGTCGAGGGGCACAAACGGTAACAACAGCGGAAGTCAGGCGCTCGGCCACACAGCGTGTCGAAGAAGCGTGTGGCGGCCAAAAAGGGGGTGGACAGCTCAATTGCTTAAGTATTTTAGTGGACACCATAGACGAGAGTCGCATAAAATGCAAGCAGTATAATCATGCGCTCTTAAGGTCAGCGAAGGCCTGAAAGTCTCCCGGATCGACGCCAAAGAGAGGCGTGAAGACCAAAAAGGGGGTGGACAACACAGTCGCTTATAATTACAGTCAAGACACAATGCTGAGAACTGCATAGAATGCAAACGACGCAATCGAGTACCCTTATGGACGACAAGTGTTCGAAATCCTTCGGCTCGATGCCGAACGAAACACGCTGCGACCAAAAGGAGGTTGGACAGTGCAGTCGTTCATGCTTCAACCAAGACACGGGTTGTGAACCGCATTGAAGTTAAGCAGGACAATCGAAGGGGCGGGTGGACAGCGCAGCGAGAAGAATCAGACCAGTATAGGAGGCTAGAGATTCAGAAAATCACGGATCTGCGGCGGCCAGGGGGCAAAAGGGTAGACAGCGGTTAATGTAAGGACCGCTCAGCTATCAAATGACATAAAAGTAGCCGCCAAAATCCTTAGTTTTTCACGACTAAGGGGCAATTGTTGGGCCATAGCTGAGCGGCATTGGGCTTGGAAGCCCAAAGGGTAAGGCCCGTTCAAAGGGCCCAGGAGAATACGTCTGGGGGAACGTAGTGCATGGGGAACAGAGAAAGGATGGCGGCCATACTAGGACAAGACAGGTACTAGGACGCCTGACACAAAGAGCCGTTACGGGCAGAATGGGAGATCCTCCGAGGATACTCACCTCGAACACTGCAGGACTAAGCATTAATTGCCGCCGTAGGCGGTCTAAATAAAGCAGAGCTTGATCTAGGACGCCTGACATGGCATTTAATGCTCGAAGTCCAGCCCAAACCACTATAAATACATTCCTATCTGCATTGATGGTAAACCAACTACTCTCTCTCTCTAAACATTACAACTCATATTCCCTCTCTAACTTAAGCATCAGAGGGTGTCCGGGGTAACTGCCCACGGACCCTTGTTTTGCAGGAGCTTGGAGTCCCCCACCATCTGGAACAGACGCCTTGCTCGCTTACACAAACCGCCTAGAACATTCTAGGCTCAAACAAGAATAAAATTAATTTACGTACTCTCAAAGCCTCTTCGTCCATTTTTTTTTCGAAAAGCTAGCGAGAGTATCGACAAAACAAAAACTCTAGTAATTCTTTCTGATGCGGAAGATCGGACTTAGCCGCAACCACAGAGCATACTTAGAACGAAACTATAGTAAAATAATGGAGGGAGAAAGAAGTATAAAATGGTGGTGTGGTTTGGAATGAAGGGGGGAGGGGTATTTATTGTGTTTGGGCGCTGGAAAATTCTTGTGCATTAAACACCGCGTCGAAGAAACACAATGAATTCACCGCGTCCAACAAACGCGGTGATGGCCTGGATCGGTGACGTGGCGCCATGTGAAGCGTTGGATCGTGGAGAAAATCCACAATCCGCGCCTCACTGCATCGAACGGCAGCGGTGAAGGCGCGGGTGGGGCGGATCGGTGACGTGGAAAGCGGGGCTATCATCGCTTTAGTCATTAACGGTGAAGTGCCCGCGCGCGTCCACGTCAGCAATCCGTGCCTATTCACCGCTTTTCAATCCAACGGTGAAGATCTCTTCACCGCGTCCCTTATCAACGATCGTATAATCCCCGCTTTTGACCAAAACGGTGATTGCATCACAGTTTTGGTTGAAAGCGATGATAGCATCACCGTT